GGTAAAGTGTTGCTCTTGAACCAGACAGATCTGATTTGCTAAACCCTTTTAGTTTAATTATTATGGAGAAACTTTGGGCAAGAGTTGCTTTTGCAAAATGAATTCATTTTAAAAACCTGTTTTAGAGACAAGTGCCCTGTTGCATTTGATCAAGATGTATTGACCCAAATCTTGGGATCAGTGTTCAGCTTAGATCTTTTTACTTGAAGGGTGTCCACAAATATATACAAAAAGGAAATCTGCCTTTTAAATTAAGGCTTTTCATAAAGTTTTGCTTAAATGATTAGGATGGAACATATCAACTGTTTTTGCTAGCATTTGCACAAATGGCAATACTGTGGGTAACTTGGTGTAGGTCAAGTAATAAAATTCAGCTTTCCTTCCTGTTTTCTAAAGACAACATTTTGATAAGCAGTGATGTCATGATCTCAGATGGGTGCACCCAGTTGCAACATTTGTTTGAAATTTACCAGAATAACTGGTTACCAGATAATACCGTAATTATGCTTGGGATATTTGGCCATTAGAAAGGCTGGAGTGTAATCACAGCAAGGTATAAAGTATTAACAACTTTCCACATATACTCCAAAAGGAGGACATTTACAGTGCAATCCTAATGGATTAGAAGGGGTGACTCCTAGGATTGCACTGCCATTTTGGCAGTCATAACCTTTTGATCTGATGCAGGTCTGGTACCCAAGTATGCTCATGACTAGGGATGGGCACAAACTGGCACATGGGCCTTTGTTGATGACAAATTTTGGCCAGTTCATGGTTCATTAACTGCAGCCTGGCCATGAACCTCCATGAACTTTTAAGGTAGATTGTGGAGATTCGTGGGTTCATGGGGAGCAAAAAGCAGGCTGCTCCCAGCTGCTCAGGTGTTTAGATTGGAAACAGCTGCATCTGCTCCTCTGGCTCAGCTGTTTAAAGGGGCTTTCTTGGGTTCAGTTCAAAGACATTTAAATCACCAATTTGTGCTGCCTGCCACTTTCCATGGGGAGCAGAAAGCAGGGGTTTAAATGGCTATTTAAAACCCTGCTTTCTGTTCCCCATGAAAAGTGGCAGGGAGCAGAAAGCAGGGGTCATTAACCCATACAAACTGGTTCGGTTTGCGAACCAGCCTCTCAGATCATAAGTTTGTGGTTCAGTTTGTGGTTCAACCACAAACCGAACAGCAAAAATGTGGCTTGTGCATATGATGGACCCCGTCTGTTTCCCTCCCTTAGAGGCAATATTTTCCCCTCAATTTTTATTTCCCTTCACTGGTTGTGCAGCCCTGGTAACGTGTTCATTCTTCCCTTGAAGAAACCTTGTCTGTCTCACCCTGTCAGTAAGGTATATTTTGCTATTTGCTCAGGGAAGGGATAGGTTCGCCCTTTTACTTAAACCCTTGAAATTGGCACTTGAGACACATGTAAAATTCAAAAACAACAAAAGGTTTTATTTTAACATGAAACAGAAAGGTCAGGTTAAATTAGGGGTTGAAATTACTGAGGTAAAACTATTACATGCATAGACTTTTGTTCTTATATATCAGACTAACAAGAGGTTCTTAAATTATTCACAGTTACTTAGATCTTTATGTTTAGAGGTTTTTGTTCCAGTGTTTTCCCAAACACTCTAATACACTTTATTTGTATAATCACTGACTCTCTTTTTTTAATTATTTTATTAAGTGTATATATATGTGTGTGTGTGTGTGTGTATATATCCAGATATTTTTATGCATATCTTAACACTTCATTTTTTGTATTCTCCTCTTTCTAAGAATCAAATTAAACATTGAAAGCATATTACTCTCTATCCTCGTTATCTTATTCCCTTTCTTTACCAGCTTGCCCAAACCGCCGTACAACTTCCTTTAATTCATGATCTAAACATTATTACATTCTTCTTTAAGTTATTCAATACTTCTATACTTCTTTTGCTGGATTCCCCCGTGCATCTTTATTTTATACTTATAGTCTTTCTTCCATACCTATAAAGGAAAGTTGAACAGGGTTGCCTCCGAAACTGGGTGCTGCAGAGGAAGAAGAAGAAGAAGAGATTGGATTTATACCCCGCCCTTTACTACCCAAAGGTGTCTCAGAGCGGCTTACAAACTCCTTTCCCTTCCCCTCCCCACAACAGACACCCTGTGAGGTGGGTGGGGCTGAGAGAACTCTGACACAAACTGCTCTTGTTCAAGGACAAGGACCCAAGGTCACATCAGCAGGTGCAAGTGGAGGAGTGGGGAATCAAACCCGGTTCTCCCAGATTAGAGTCCACACACTTAACCACTACACCAAACAGGAAGCCTCTGCAATAGGAGGAAATCCTCCTCCCTCTTATCGGAGGTCTTGGGGGGGGCACATCCTTCCCCTCCTTGCTATGTCGTTGGCTTTAACTATTCCATTCCTGTTGTCTATTTTCCATTATTATTATTCCCACTCATCCTATCTACTAACTCTAACTTACTCTATATACTAACATACTATCATACTAACTCTTACTTTATGGATTACATTCTACCTCTCTGCTTCAAAACATAATATCACAGTTCAAACACTTCCATTCCTTAATTTGGTTACTGCCTCTACTAAATTTTTCCCTGTAATTTCGTTATGTGCAGTGAACATTTTGTTTTCCAAATTAACCACGAGATGTCCGAGCGGCAACCATCTGTACTGAATTCCTTTGTCTCTGAGAATTTTTGCTGTTTCCTTAAGACGTCTTCTTGCGATGCTTGCCTCAGCTGGAATGTCAGAAAACAGATACACAATCGTGTCCTCCAGGCTCAGTCCCTGCTTGTGTCTCGCGATTGCAAAAAGTTTATTCTTCGTTATTTGTTTGAGTAGCCCAAATTCATTTTTTTAACTGTCCAACCTCTCCACTCAGAGACTTTAAATCATTCTTGATTTTTTTCCTTATCTCTGTTAAGGCATGCAATAACACAGTCTGTTCGCTTTGGTCAGGGTTACTCCCCCCTGCCGCCATTTCCTCTAACAGAGACACCTCTAGGTCTGTATCATCTGAGTGTTCAGGGTCAGTATTACTCTTTTTGGGAGGTCTATAAGGTGGCTTTTTAGTACCTTTATTTGCTCTGGTCCTTCCCATAGCTGGGCATTGGTAGTTGTTCCAAACTTGGCTGTATTTTCTGGAAGCAGAGCTCTAATTTTTTCATGGGAATAGCAGGAGCTGGAAGGGATGCAGCACTCAGCCACCACACACACACACCCATCACTGACTCTTTTGGTCCCCAAAAGGCTGGTACCTTCTTCCTAGTACCCAACCCCCCTTTTCCTTGGAACACCAGTATTCCTCTTGAGTTGTGAACTGACTTCTAAGGTCTCTAAAGCAGTTCCTATTCACACCAGACCAGAGAACTCTGTACTCCTCAGAGATAACGCTCCCTGTTTGACTGGGTAGGGAATCTTTTTCTCTCTGTAGATCTATCCCCTTTCCTTTGGCCTGGAGTCTTCTCTACTACCCATTTCCTTGCCAAACTCTCCCCTTGGTATTCATGTCTGTGTTTAAACTGCTCTCAGCTAATACTTTAATTCAGACTGCATTCAGTCAAGGTAGAAATCTCACTCTGTAAGCATTAAAATGACATTCTTAGACAGCTATTCGTAGATAGTCTCAGTAAGTCTGTTCACAGTAAAGGCAGGAATCTGGTTAAATTTTCCTCAGCATCCAGCTCTCTTGAGGCTTCTTTTTTTGCTCAGCTGATTCCAACCAATCAGATTGCCTGGGGCAGCCTGTCACTTAAGCCTCTCTATTTTTGTGAAGAATTAACCCTTCACAGCCCTTCAGCTGTTTGTACAGCACATCTAAGCGTCTTACAAAGTGCAGTCCATCACAGTGCCCTTCCCTACTCATGATAATCAAAGCATTGTACAATATAGATATGGCTGGATATCTCAGTGAAGTCACCATCTCACTATATGTTTTAACAACCAGAACCCCAAAACTATGCAGATCACTGGGGACAGAAATAAATTGCTGTTTCTGCTTTATTTCTGTTTCTGTTGCCCAGTTTCTTGAAGGCAGGCACAGGCTTCTGCAGTGAGTTTTGATCATTGATGTTAGATCATTTAAAGGAACAATGGCATTCATAGCTGCATACTTTCTTCTATCTGGTTGCATGTAGTTTGAGTGTGAAGACATATACTGTGTTTGAGAATGATGGGGGAATCGTACTCGCAAGACAGCAATTAGTAATGTGTGTAATTTGCAGAATAGAGTTTCACATGTTGCATACAAACATCAGAATTTCCCAATTGTTTAGGTTTACACTTCTGGTTCTTTAGTGAAGAATATCATAGAATCATAGAGTTGGAAGGGGCCATACAGACCATCTAGTCCAACTCCCTGCCCAATGCAGGACCAGCCTAAAGCATCTGTGATAAATATTAGTCCAGCCTCTTCTTGAAAGCTGCCAGTGAAGGGGAGCTAACCACCTCCCTAGGCAGCTGATTCCACCTTTGAACCACTCTGACGGTGAAAAAGTTTTTCCTAATATCCAGCCGATACCTTTCTGGATGTAATTTAAACCCATTGCTTCAGGTCCTATCCTCTGCTGCCAGCTGAAACAGCTCCTTGCCCTCCTCCAAATGACAGCCTTTCAAATATTTAAAGAGAGTCATCATGCCCCCCCTCAATCTCCTCTTCTCCTAACTAAACATTCCCAAGGCCCTTAGCCTTTCCTCGTAGGGCTCAGTCTCCAGCCCCCTGATCATATAATCAAGGTCACCATAATGTAAACCGTATGTCATAAGTATCTGAGAGTGACGTTTATAAACAAAGGCATCTTGAACATTTTACAGCTTATTTGTAGTGATTCAGCAACATTGTTGACAAGGTCCAGCGACTCTGAGCAGTTGAATTCATGGTGCTGTCAGTTAATTTCCCGAATTCTGAGACTTCCTTGTCTGCAGTCAGCAGTTGTCACTGTAACATTGGTCTCCCTTTAAGTCTGTTTTCTAATACTGTTTTCTGTTGTTTCTCTCTTACAGCATGAAAGACTTTCCAGGTAAGATTTTCAGCAAACTTTTGTTAAAGCATGCATTTTAATAGGCTGTTTGCCAATTATGAATGAAAAATATTTACTCCTGCTGATCAAGTTAGAACCAGGCCTTCTGATAATGCTTCAAAAACTCTCAGTGGTACTGTGATCTGAAGTCCTTTTTCTTTCCCCAAATCAAATTTATATTATCAGTGAGTGGAAAAGGAGATAAACATTTTGTCCATTTGAATGCAGAATTTCTTTCCCACATCTTTCCTTTCTAGCTGCATAGAGAGCAATACCTAAGAATATAAGAGAAGCCAATACTGGCTCCGGCCAATGGCCCATTCAATCCAACATTCTGTCACACAGTGGCCAAAAATACCAGGTGCCATCAGGAGGTCCAGCAGTGAAGAATTTATTCACTGCATATGTTGGGGCATCGGTGCCATAACCACCCCACATTTTAGGGGGTGGAAATCTATCTAGAGAAATGCAATGTTATAAGACTGAATTAAGTTGCTTTTTCATAGTGTGTTCTGGTATTACATCTGTTTCCAGGTTGGACACTGCAAGTTCAAACACTGGCACCAGCGATAGCTATGGTGATCGGCCCTTAGGTCGCAGCACTGCCTACACCAGGAGAGAGAATCGCCTGGCTGCCCTCAGCAGCAGAACAGAGGATGACAGTAGCAGGGACTATAAAAAAGTAGGTCATAGAAATGGGCAGAGATGAGTCCTTCTTTCTTCTGCAATCATCTTTAATAATTTAGCAGCAGATTAGAAATCTAAGTTTGGTGCGTTAATCCACCTATCCTGTGTACCTTCCATGGGTTTGCTGTGAGTATCTTAGGGCAGGTAACCCACTCAGGTGGGTAGCCGTGTTGGTCTGAAGCAGCAGAACAAAGTTTGGGTCCAGTGGCACCTTTAAGACCAACAAAATTTTATTCAAGGTATAAGCTTTCTTGTGCATGGTATCTGACGAAGTGTTCATGCACACAAAAGCTTATACCTTGAATAAAACTTTGTTGGTCTTAAAGGTGCCACTGTACTCAAACTTTGTTCTTTATCTTCTACTCAGTTCCTTGCCCATAGAATTAAATACGTAAGCCTCCTTGAGCCACCATTGATGGTGGGAATGATGGAGTGTAAATATGTTGTACTGTAAGCCTGAATTTAATTTATGGATATCTGGAAATCAGCTTTGTGCATAACTTGTTCAAAAGATCAGAAACGGTGAAATTACAAGGTGAAATTAGTGACAGATAGGGTCCTATCTGTGGGCCAGGTGCTAAGCAAATTAATCTCAAACATTTTAAAATAGTAGTAGTTAAAAGGCAACAAGGAGTCACCTGTATGGTCTGCAGAGTATCACTGCAAATTAGACTCCATCAGGTTGATATCAACCCCTCATTGTTGCTCATGGACGCCTTGACCATTATAGATGGTCTGTGAGTGTGTCTAGGCCATACTATTTGGCTTTGCCTTCATCCCGTAAAGACTGAAAGGGCGTACCTTGGAGTGGTACAGCACTTTTCATAAGGCTTTGTATTGTAGGGAAGATCTGCAATAAATTCGTCTCTGATGTGCTTCTGAAATGCTTCGGGTCCCTCAGAACACAGTTTGAAAACCATTTTATTATAGCACAAGAGGTGCAGAAGTGCATATACAGTTGACTTTCTGTGCTTTTGATTTGTTTTTACCCTCTCTCCTTAAAAGAAGAATTCCCAGTGATATTGACTGACCAGCAGTTAAAATAGTCTGTTTGTCAGCAGTCTGGGTCACAGTGGCAGATTGGAAGATCACAGCCATTATACCACAACTGGTGTTTCAAAAGATGAAATCTGATACTGAGGGTAACTTCCAGTTGTCTTTTTGCCGTTCAGCTCTATGAAAGTGCCCTGTCTGAAAATCAAAAATTGAAGTCAAAACTACAAGATGCACAGGGGGAGCTTGCTGACATCAAACTGAAATTGGACAAAATAGCACAGGTGAGAAAATGTGAGAATAAGGAGCACTATAATAATGAGAATGCACGAAAGAAGACTGCAGTTTTGTTTAGTCCTTTATAATAGGGAGTCTTTGGCATCTGAGAAGGATTATTGTCGTTTCTCAGACAAAAATAATTTTAAAAACCCAGAAGTACTTGGTGCAATAACAGATGTCACTATTTCTTAAAAAAATACTTGGATTTTCTTCTGAAATAATTTTAATTAAAGACAGATAATCTCCCCAACATGTGCTTCAGAAAGGGTTTACTAGTTTAGTAGTTTAGTTTAAAGCTCTCATTTTCCCCCCAAGACTTCTCCAATGTTTCTTATGAATTGCCAAGCCCTCTCCATGAACCCCTGGTCTTCACCCTCCACACCCCGTTTACCATGTTGCTTCAGTAGACTGGTGATGAGAGACCGCCCTCCCCAGCATCTTGGAATCTGTTTCAGCAATGTCCAAGGCAATGAGTTGCACCTTGGGAAGTGTAATCTCTGAAGTGCACCATGATATAGTGTCAAGCAACTTCAGGACTACCTTTCCCAGTGTGCACTTTGGGTGTAGCAGTAGAAGAAGGGGGAGGCAGAAAGAGCCCATTAGTGGGCTACCAGCTTACTTCCTGCAGCAAAGCGCCTCAAGGGATGTGAGCTTGAGAGCATCTGAGAGTTTGAGAACATAGTTGTAGTTCATGGGAAAGGCCCAAAAATTATAAAGATGTTTACAACTCCTTAGGAAAAGATTTTTCCCCCCAGGAGTTCTTCACTGTAGCGTGTAATATGTTGGGCCCTTTGCAGTATGCATGTAGGTGAGGACGGATATCTAATTGAAGCCAGAGAAGGATTTTCAAGCTGCTGAAGTTTCTGCTCCAAGTCTAGGAAATATAAACTTCCGAAGTAACTATAAGGTTTAATATAGTTTTTTAAACTATCCTTTTTCATTTCGATAGCAGAAGCAAGAAAAAACCTCTGACCGTTCAAGTATGCTTGAAATGGAAAAGCGGGTATGTATTTCTGCTTTCTAGTATCTGTTTGCTTATTTAGCTTGACTTCGGAGGGTATTTTGGAAAGGAAATGCCTCTACAGAAAGCTGATTTGGTTCCTGCTCTGAGACTTCTTGGGTAATACTCAACTCTTGAGCAGTTTTACTTCTCAGATTTGTCTATCAGCGTATTTGCTCACTTCATTTCAACTTTCTGCTGCATAATAAAGGGCTGCCATGTAATAAATTCCTAATTCATGCCCGGCTAGGAACTTAAGTCATCTATTGAGGATCTGTTCTCTAGTGGATTCCTGCCTGATTATTTGCCTGGCTCCTGAACTTTGTTTTCAGATGTCAGGTTAAAACATTTTTATTCAACCAGGTATTTGTTTAAAGAATTGTATTTTTTTCAGGACCGAAGGCTGCATGTGTTCTAAAAAATGGGGCTCAGAAATTACTGTCCTAGTATAGATCAAGATGGGTAGCCATGTTAGTCTGTCTGTAGTAGTAGAAAAGAGTAAGTGTCTAGTAGCACCTCAAAGACTAACAAAATTTGTGGCAGGGTATGAGCTTTCATGAGCAGTTAAGAAGTGAGCAGTGACTCACAAAAGCTCATACCCTACCACAAATTTTGTTAGTCTTTAAGGTGCTCCTGGACTCTTACTCTTTTCTGCTGTCCTAGTACTACTACTAAGTTGATGCCAAATCTATCTATGTATTAATCATATTTTTTATCATGCCTGTCCTTGAAAGAAAGTGATTGACCCAAGTTTGCCCAGTTCATGGCTGTGTAAAGATTTGAAACTGCTTTATCTGGTCAGTTCTACAACTGTACCCTCTGACTAGAAAGGTTTCACATACTTTTATTTTGTATTCATGAGATATAATAGTGTATTGTTTTAATATTGCTATAATTTATATATTTTAATCTGTTTTTTTTAATCTGTTGCCCACCTAACGGTGGACTTATAACTGTTTTAAATAAATTACATAAATAACTATGAAATTCACCTAGTGACCTACATATGCTATTGTAATTCTTGATATCAATATATCCTGTGATTCTTGATATCGATATATCTATTTCTCAAGAAGGCTAGATCTGTGGATCCAGAGACTGGAGCCATGAACAGATATGGCAGATCTTTCTACAAATCTGAAAAATGCACCAGGTTTGCAGGCAATCACACTAAGTATTGTCAGCCTTCAAGCCTTGGGTTCTGTCAGTAAAAGTCAGTGGGAGGGGGCAGGGCCCTCTTGAGGGCTGTTTTGGCTTTTGAGGGAGGGCTCAATTGGGGCAAGACCAGCCAGCAACCACCAGATGACTTGATACCACATGACTTGCATGAATCACCAGGACTAGCTTCTTGCTACTATTCAACAGCATCCCCCTCCTCAAAAAAAAAAGAGAGAGAGAGAGAGAGAGAGAGGAAGAAGCCACTGCAGTATAGTTTCAAACTAGGATCTGGGAGACCCAGGTTCAAATTACCATTCCAACTTGGAATTTCAGTAGGTGAACATGGGCTAATTACACATTCTCAGCCAGTTTGGTGTAGTGGTTAGGAGCATGGACTCTAATCTGGGAGAACTGGGTTTGATTCCCCATGCTTCCACATGCAGCTGCTGGTGTGACCTTGGGTCAATTACAAGTTCTCTCAGACCTGTTTTCTCAAGAGCAGTTCTCAAAAGAGCTCTCTCAGCCCCACCTACCTCACAGGGTGTCTGTTGTGTGGAGGGGAGACCCTTCGGGTAGTGAAGGGTGGGGTATAAATCCAATCTCTTATTCTCTTCTTCTAATTTACATCAGAAAGTAGTTGTTAGAATAAAGTGGAGGAGAGGAGAATGCTGTAATCTATTTTGGGTTCCCACTGAGAAGAAAGGTGGGATATAAATGAAGTAAATAAATAATGATTATAGCTGAAGCTGGGAGTCAGATAAAAGGCTAGTTTGTTGGTAGGTGGGAAGGTTGCATATGGGATTGCATAAAGGTGAGAATATGGGGTTGCCAGGAGGAGAGAAAGAGGAAATAGTATGGGGAAGGTGATACAGAGGAAAATGAGTTCCTCCCCACAAAACGTTTCTGCTTCCCCAAATGGGTCTGACACTTGGCCAGAGTTTTCCTGGGAGAGGGTGCCAGGGTGAAGGAAAGAGGGAATGCTGAAGACCAGAGGGCCAAATATAGGTAGGATGGCTGGGGTGGGTGGGAAGTGTGGGGAAAATAAGATGCTCCCCACAAGTCCTTGCAGATTCCGCATCACAGAGCTGGACCTGGCCCGGTGGCCAGCATTATGCAATTGGGCCATGGTTTTCCTGAGTACAAGCTTCCAGGGGGGAGGGAAAGAAGGGAAACTGAAGATCGTGGTATATAAAGGTAGGTTGGCTGGGGGGGGAGAAGGAAGCAGGAAAAGGGGAGAGGCTATGGGAGCCTTCAGGAAAGGTACAGAGGAAATAGTGGGGGCTGGGAAAATGTGATGCGCCCCCCAAGTCCTTGCAAGTCCTCTGCTTGTATGGCTATATTTCCCAAATATCATCGCACAAGATCATTGTTGTGAAAATATTGTTCCTAAACAGGAAAAACGAACCCTTGAGCGGAAACTTTCTGAAATGGAAGAGGAAATGAAGGTATGAAAAATTCCGCGCTAATATTCTTCTCTGTGCTTAGCAGTGTCTTTACACGGACATCTTGAGGGAGCACAGTGTCATGTGTCATAAAAACCTTGTTGTTGAATGAACATTTTAATATCACACTGCCCTCTGTTGGTTATCTTCTGTCTCCCTTTTTTTTAGCTGAAAGCATATTCCAAGCCTGAGTTGTAAGATTTCTGTTTTGCACTACTGATATCAAGTTATAACTGTTATTCGAGCCTTTCTTATGCTTAAAAGAAGCTACAGTTGCCTTCTAGCATCATTTAGTTGAAGGATGGCTACCCTTCCAAATGTCATCACGGTCTGATAAAATGTTCCCCAAAGCGTCATTTGTAAGGAAGACAGAAATGTTTACCATTCACAGGAGACATATACTGTGCTTTAATATTTCCTCTCCTTTGGATTTTGCATGAAATGCCTTGGATTTGCCTGACTGCTTGTGCGCCTTATAGCTAAATGGTGATACATTTGTTACAGAGCCTGATTACCTTTGAAGGAATCCAATTAGGCTGCAGAGTAAAGTTCCTTGCTAACCATGTACAGAACAGTGTGATCCCTGAGAATGCAGCAGTTGTCTGTCCCTGCCTTAGTGAATGAAGTTTAGCTTAGAGGTAGCCCTGTATAGGTATACTTTAATGCTGAGATGAATGTTTCACACTGGAATGTTTGTGTGTGTGTGTGTGGGAGGGTTTCCCCAAATTTTTCACCGGTGCTTTGTCCCTTTTGTGCCTGTTCAGCACCTTAGCTTGCTGTTGAATTGGTGCATTATTTTCTTTTAAAATCATGGTTCCTTTCATTCAAGCAAAAAAAGTATAACTGTCGTGTAGCCAGTAAAATTTGGCAGGTGGCCAGCATCTCACTGAAGGCAAATGAAGCTAACACAAACGAAGGGTTTGTGTTAGCTTTGTTTGCCAATGCAAATCGTAACACAAACTCCTACTTTGTGTTAGCTTCATTTGCCCTCAGTGACATAGGCAGTCTGCCAAATCTTACTGGCTTTGTAACTGTTACACTTTTTATCGCACTAAAGAAGACAATTTTAAAGCTGGAAAAATGACCCTGATTCAGCAGATGATTCAGGGCTGTGATTCAGCTTGTTTTAGAGTACCTCTGCAACTTCCCAGAAATGTTATCTGATGAAGGGAGCTTTGACACTTGAAATATTATTCCCCCCCACCCCCCAAAAAATGGTCTCTAAGGTATTACTGGGCTTGAATCTAGAACTTCCCAGAAGAGGCCGTTCTTTCAGTGAGGCAAACTAATGCTGGAGAGTGTGGCTCCCCGAAAAAGGGCATGCAAACATTTTTTTACTTCTTTAAAACTTTCCTTAAATGATTGCCCAAAGAGGAGCATGTTTTCCAGTGGTTCTGGGGAAAGCAGTCTTGGCAGTCAGAAAGACTCCTCTTGCTAGCAAACAAAGTCTTTCCCAGTGGGAGAGACTTTTCAGTCCAAAGTTAGACTCTGGGGAAGCATCAGTTCCTCCAATCCATGCCATGAATCGAATAGGAACACTAGCCCCAGAGAGCTAGTCAAAGAGAGAAGAACATGAAGAAGACAGGAAAGAGAGACATCTACTGACTTTTGAACTGACTAAGCTGGATACACGAACATGCTGGTGCTCCCAGAAAGCCACACTCCAATTTTGCATTTGCAGAGGTCAAATCTACTTAAAACAGACAATTTCCTCCTCTCCTGTTTTGGGGACTGGGGGAGGCAGGATGGGAAGACTTATTCTCGAGGATTCCAGGGTTCACCATAGGAACAAGGTTATCTTCGACGTGGTCTCTGTGCTTCACATCCATGGCATCTAGTGCGCACGCGCTGGATCGATCGGCATTGTAGCAAGCTCTTTAACAAATTTTCGCGCCCAGTCCCTCGGGCATGTGCAGGAACCCCACCGCACATGACCAGAGGGGTGGGCGCAGACATCCCGTCAGTTCCTTTCTTACCGCCACGTTGGAAAGACCTTTTTCTTCGTCGGTCTGATCGGTTCGCGTGTTTTGGCTTTTTGCCTCACAGCTCTTTGGATTTTTTCCTCAGTTTATTCCTTTTCTTCGTTGTTCTTTCAAAAAAAATTTTAAAAAAACCTTTTATTTTCTGCTGAGGGGGAGGTTGCCGCTTTACCTCAGTCGGGCCTTCGGGCTACCCCCCCACCACCCATTCTTTCTTCTTCATTTTGGTTTTTATGGAGAAGAAGTGGGGCTTTTTTAATAGGTGCAAGGGTTGAGGTAGTAAACTTGCTCCTCCTGACCATCATACCCTTTGCATACTTTGTCTCAGAGAGTCTCATCGACCTGAATCCTGTCACCACTGTGCTCGCTTTTCAAACCAGACCCGGAAAAAAACGAGCTGCGCGCCTTAAAGTGGTCCTACTAGAATCGGCAACCGACACTGAAGCCTCCAGCATCGAAGGCGCAATCCTCAGCTTCCACGCTGGTGAAAAAGAAGTACAGGCCAAGTAAGGAGCAAAAGTCCGCAAAGAAGGGCTCTTCCAAACCCCTTAAGGCGGCAAAGAAGGGGAAAGTAGCGGTGGCTGCACTGGGTGATGCCCCTAAAGTGCCTCCCGCTCCAACGACTGTATAGATACCGGAGGCCCAAGTCCCTCCACCAATACTGACCATCCATGTCTTGAACTCCCCTGTCCACCAAATGGAGCGTCCTTACTCCGACATCGAAACGGTAGAGCTCCTAAGTCATGAAATGGACATCGATCCACGTCGGCACCGACATGCTTCATGCGACGTGGAGTGTCACCCTCCACGTCTGCACAGTCAATCTGTCTATATCGACAACCGAGATTATGCGGGCTCCTCTCAAAGACATGCTGCTGCGTTGTCTCCGAGATGTCCATGGTCCAGAAGTCGATCCCCGCGAGTCTTCTTAACCCCGCCA